ACCGTCGTCGTACTCCAGCACCTCGTCGTAGATGGGGGGGGCCATGCCGATGGCCTGGCCGGGGAAGTAGGGGTTGTAGTGCAGCCCCTCCCTCAGCGAGACCCCCGCGGGGGCGTCACAGTACCCCGTCAGCAGGGCGAAGACGTAGTCCTCGCCCCCGTGCCTGAAGGGTTAATAGCGGGATCAATAACCCAATCAATAACCCGATCAGTAACAGGATCAATAACATCACAGTACCCCGTCAGCAGGGCGAAGACGTAGTCCTCGCCCCCGTGCCCGAAGGGTTAATAACAGGATCAATAACCCGATCAATAACGGGATCAATAACATCACAGTACCCTGTCAGCAGGGTGAAGACGTAGTCCTCGCCCCCGTGCCTGAAGGGTTAATAACGGGATCAATAACCCGATCAATAACCTGATCAATAATATCACAGTACCCCGTCAGCAGGGCAAAGACGTAGTCCTCGCCCCTGTGCCTGAAGGGTTAATAACGGGATCAATAACCCGATCAATAACGGGATGAAAAATGGGATCAGTAATGGGATCGCTGAGATCAGTAACGGGATCAATAGCAGGATCAATAATAGGATCAGCAGCTGGATCAATGGAATCGCTAACAGGATCAATAACCCGTTGTTGGGGTCACCCCAGAGCCCCCCAGGACCCCCGGTACCCCCGGTACCCCCGTACCTGGCATTAACAATGTAGCTGAGGTCGGGGGGCAGCGCCCCGTTGTTGGGGTCACCCCCGGTACCCCGTACCCCCGGTACCCCCCGGTACCCACGGTACCCCATACCCCGTACCTGGCGTTGACGATGTAGCTGAGGTCGGGGGGCAGCGCCCCGTTGTTGGGGTCACCCCCGGTACCCCGTACCCCCGGTACCCCCCGGTACCCCCGGTACCCCCGTACCCCGTACCCCGTACCTGGCGTTGACGATGTAGCTGAGGTCGGGGGGCAGCGCCCCGTTGTTGGCCGCCCGCGCCGCCTCGGGGTTGGGGTAGGGCTTGGGGAAATAATCCGAGATCTTCCCGGGCCGCAGGAACATCTCCCCGCTCTCGTTGGGGCCGTCCTGCACCTCCACCTGGGGACAGGTGACACACAGGGGAGACAGGTGAGACACAGGGGAGACACAGGTGAGACACTGACAGGTGAGACAGGGACAGGTGAGACACAGGTGAGACAGGGACAGGGACAGCAGAGCCCCCAGGAACATCTCCCCGCTCTCGTTGGGGCCGTCCTGCACCTCCACCTGGGGACAGGTGACACACAGGTGAGACACAGGGGAGACACAGGTGAGACGGGTGAGACAGGGACAGGGACAGGTGACACACAGGGACAGTGACAGCAGAGCCCCCAGGAACATCTCCCCGCTCTCGTTGGGGCCGTCCTGCACCTCCACCTGGGGACAGGTGAGACACAGCGGAGACAGGTGAGACAGGTGAGACAGGGACAGGTGAGACACTGACAGGTGAGACAGGGACAGGTGAGACACAGCTGAGACAGGGACAGGTGAGACACAGGTGAGACAGGGACAGGTGAGACACAGGGGAGACAGGTGAGACACAGGGGAGACAGGGACAGGTGAGACACAGGTGAGACACAGGTGAAACACAGGTGGGACAGGGACAGGGACAGGTGAGACACAGGTGAGACAGGGACAGGGACAGGTGAGACAGGGACAGGGACAGGTGAGACACAGGTGAGACAGGTGACACACAGGTGAGACAGAGACAGGTGAGACAGGGACAGGGACAGGTGAGACACAGGTGAGACAGGGACAGGGACAGGTGAGACAGGGACAGGGACAGGTGAGACACAGGTGAGACACAGGGCCAGCAGGGTGGGGACACTGCACACAGCAGTGGCACCGGGACAGTGACACATGGGGGAACAGCACGGTCACTGGGGACACTGGGACAGCAGGACAGGGACAGTGGGACACTGGGACAGATGGACAGGGACAGTGGGACAGCAGGGGTGGCACTGGGACAGCGCCAGCAGGACACTGGGGACAGCAGGACAGGGACAGTGGGGACACTGGGACAGCAGGACATGGACAGTGGGACACCGGGGACAGCAGGACGGGGACAGTGGGACACCGGGGACAGCAGGACAGGGACAGTGCAGGTGGCAGCAGTGGCAGGGGTGGCAGGGGTGGCAGGGGTGGCAGGGGTGGCAGGGGTGACAGGGGTGACAGGGGTGGCAGGGGTGGCAGGGGTGGCAGCAGTGGCAGGAGTGGCAGAGGTGGCAGGGGTGGCAGGAGTGTCACCTCCTGTGCCAGCGCCTTGGCCTCGGCCTCGGTGTGGCTGACGCCGATGAGGTTCCGGAAGGCCACGAACTCCATGGAGTGACAGGCGGAGCACACCTGGCGGTACACCTGGAACCCCCTGCGCACACTGCGGGGGGACAGAGACCCCAAAATCAGCCAAAATCACCCCAAAATCCACCCAAACACACCTGGCGGTACACCTGGAACCCCCTGCGCACACTGCGGGGACAGAGACCCAAAATCAGCCAAAATGTACCCAAAATCCACCCAAAATCCACCCAAACACACCTGGCGGTACACCTGGAACCCCCTGCGCACACTGCGGGGACAGAGACCCAAAATCAGCCAAAATCCCCCCAAACACACCTGGAACCCCCTGCACACACTGCGGGGACAGAGACCCAAAATCAGCCAAAATGTACCCAAAATCCACCCAAACACACCTGGCGGTACACCTGGAACCCCCTGCGCACACTGCGGGGGGACAGAGACCCCAAAATCAGCCAAAATCCCCCCAAAATCCACCCAAAATCCCCCCAAACACACCTGGCGGTACACCTGGAACCCCCTGCGCACACTGCGGGGGGACAGAGACCCCAAAATCAGCCAAAATCACCCCAAAATCCACCCACAAAAAACACCTGGCGGTACACCTGGAACCCCCTGCGCACACTGCGGGGGGACAGAGACCCAAAATCAGCCAAAATCACCCCAAAATCACCCCAAACACACCTGGAACCCCCTGCGCACACTGCGGGGACAGAGACCCAAAATCAGCCAAAATGTACCCAAAATCCCCCCAAACACACCTGGCAGTACACCTGGAACCCCCTGCGCACACTGCGGGGGGACAGAGACCCAAAATCAGCCAAAATCACCCCAAAATCCACCCAAACACACCTGGCGGTACACCTGGAACCCCCTGCACACACTGCGGGGGGACAGAGACCCAAAATCAGCCAAAATCACCCCAAAATCCACCCAAACACACATGAAGCCTCCTGCAGACACTGCAGATGCTTGAGACACTAAAAAAATCCCAAAAACCCCAAAATCCCCCAAACACCCCCAGAACCCCCAAAGGACACTGCAGAGGTTAGACACCCTAAAAATCCCAAAATCCCCCAAACCTCCCCTGCACGCTGTGGGCACAGGGCTCAGACCCTCCAGGACCCCCCACAGGTGCTGTGCCCCAGGGACCCCAAATCCGAGACCCCAAATCCGAGACCCCAAATCCGAGACCCCAAATCTGAGACCCCAAATCCCCACAGCCCCAGGGACCCCAAACTCCCCCAGGACCCCCCAAACCC